TGTCGATGACTCAGAGCAGGCACTTTCCATACATCCTTGCAGTGACCTGCTTCCACATAAGATGGTGGCTTCTAAGTTCAGTTGAGGGTCTGAATGGCATGAGACCCACTTAGGGCAATGGAGCAGTTTCTGCTTCTAGATTTTCTAGCTGAAAGACAAAAAGAAAGAACAAGGACAGTGAGTGTTTCAGATTGGGTTACAGCACACATTAATTGGGCATCTTCTGTGTGTCAGAACTATATTGAGAGCCTTTGCATATACCTTCTTCTGCAACCTTCAGAGTTTTTCCTAAATGTGAATATGCCTCTTAAAAGAGGGGTTTCCCAAAGTAGAGACCGATGTGATGATCAACAAAGACATGCATTCCGGACATCAGGCTACAGTGGGCCCCAAGGGGGCAGGTGGTTGTGCAGGCACAGGTAGCTCCATGTGCTTCATTAGAACTGGATGCCTTCATGGAGATCAGTCTCCCTCCAACAAAGGAACTAGGAAGCCAGGTGGTGGCCCGAGAGCAAATAGCTGCCTCAGAACCTCTACTGTCTGACCCTGCACTTCTGGATCCTGATTTGAAAGCCTTTAACAATAAGGTGAGGAGTCTTCTTTTCCAGGAGACTTCAGAAGCCTTGTCCCATAAGGAGGGTGCAGTGGGGACAGGGGAGAAAGGTAAGGGTGGGAAAAACATAAACTATTATGTCTCCTTTTGATATCCATGCTCAAATGTACCAGGCTCTCTTGAGGAATGAGGCTCACTCATTCAATTAGTCAGTTTTAAAACAGTAAAATGGGGAAGGAAGTAACTGTGACCTTTGGGTGGAGCTGCTTGGACCCCCGTTATGTGCCCCTTCTGCTGTTCTTGGGGCTGAACGTGTAATTGGAATCGATAATTTACATGCTTGTCCTGTGAATGCTCATACTGCCCAAGGGAGATGTTCTGATCTGGAAGAGCCACCTGTAGAGAGGTGACGGTGGGACGTGCGTATACCCGACCACAACTCAGCTTCTGGTTCCCTTCCGATATTATAGCCCTGTGTGGCCAGTGAAACATGCTGAAGGAATCTGGAGGCCCATGGAGGATAATTGTCAACTGAATTCAGTTTTTGCCCCTGCAGTTCGAGCTCTTCCAGACATTGTGACTATCACTGAATCAGTTGCCCATGATGGCACCCAGGACGCCATCTTAGACTTTGGTCATGCCTTTTCTCCATCCCTTTGGCACTCGAAGATTAAGATCCTTCACCTGGCTTAGCTTCCAAAAACATGGTTACTGTGCAGCCATGGTAATGTTGGATTCTTCTGCTTTTTGCCACCAGTGGGTGGGCCAAACCACAGAACAAGCGTCTCTTTTTTTTTTTTGCAAGTAACTTGTTTCTACTACATTAATGATATTACATCAACCAGCCCCAATAAAGTTAGCAGATGCTAACTCAGCATGAAGACCCAGGAGTGCTCATTAATTCTGATAAGATTCAGAGACCAGCCACCCAAGTCAAAATTTTGGGAGCACGTGAGCTACTGCTTAATAGTGGGTTCTAGAAACAGTAAAAAAAAAAAAAACGTTCTCTGTGTTACGACTCTCCAAGGCTGGAAAGACCGAAACTTAATTGCATAGTTGGGTTTTGGAGACAATACGTGCCTTATCTGTGTACCTGTTTTGTTGAGGCTACAGGTTAATCAGAAAATCTGCCAAATTTCACAAGAGACCTAAGCGACAGGCGACCCTGGAGGCAGTGCAACAGGCTGTCCCAACAGCCCAGCCCTGGGGCCCTTCGAACTACAGATTTCTGTTAGAAAAGGCAGCCTCCATCAGGGGTGGCCTTTGGCGCTTCCCTGACACCAATCCCGTCTTCAGCTGGGGAAGGGATACCTTCAACCTTGGAGGTGCGGGGACGGGGCATTGATTAACACGATCCTTATCTCTAAACGCCAACCCTGTAACGGGCAAAACAGTCACATGGTCCACTGAGACAAGCAGTCGCTCTGTCTGCCAGGCCAGTCTTCTGGGAGCATCACTTCGATCTGTACACCGTGGGATCAGAGACTCGCATGGGCTTGGCTGGCCCTTAGTTCCTCTATGTGCCTGCTGTTATCAAAGACAGCAGCTCCTAAACGTGAAGCCCTTGTCCATGTGAACATGCAAAGATAAGTGCAGTCTTGTTTCAGGTAAGCTCACACCAATTCCTATGACACCTGAGTGCCCTTGGGTTATGCCATGCATGGCTATCAAGGCTACAACTACTCGGTGACCATGCCCATATGGATTATCCAAATTAATGTAACAGTGATCAAAATTAAGTTTGTCAACAAACGCCAGATGGAGCCTGTCCCCTTCAAATGTATGTTTGCAAGTGGGACAGCGTGGGACACAGGATCTGTCTCCACTGGGCATGGGGTCTGCAATCTGGCTCATCTTTGGCCCCTGCAATTGTTGGCTATAATGCGGCTCCTTGGATCGCATCCCCTTTGTTAGGCCCCCAGGTAAGGAGGGCTGTCCTACCTGAGGGATACATGGATTCCTGTTTCCATACAGCAGTGTGAGTACTGTTCCCTGGCATCAGAGTGCACCTTCTAGAGGCAGGTCAGCACATTCTTGCTGACCGAGCTGAACTGCGAGTAACTATCTTTGACTCTGAGTTGTTTCTATAGTCACATAATCAGTTAAGAACCTTCACTGCTGACTGCATGAGGCCCATGGCGTGACCATTTTGTGATTGCTCGCTCCCTTTCCCAAGGGAGAAGGCTCGGTCTGCTTACTACAAAACATGCTGAACCCTTCGGTCTGGGCTCCTGAACTGCAGGGCCATCCATGATGTGCGTGGCAACAGTCTGGGCCCATTGTGTCACACCATGGGACATGTGGGCAAGGAAGCCAGCACTCCCCATGGCGATGCCCCTACTGTTTGCTGCGCCGTCAGTAGTAAACTGCTTTCTCCGGTCCATTGAGTCACATTGTTTATTCTTGGCACCCGTGGAGTCCTGGACAGCTGCCCTGCTTCCTTGCTGAGACCTCTTCTTTAGAAGCTTGTAACTTCCTGCCTCTTTTTAAGGCTAGTCTTCTTTCTTGACAGTAACCTCAGAATTGTTGTACGTTTCAGTAAACTTGACATTTGACATAGACACAATATTTTAAACTACCATCAGTTTTTCCAATTTCATCAATAGCTTTTAAGCTGTTATTTTCCCAAATAGTCCCCAAGCAAAACTCTTTGGGCTATTTTTTTTTTTTTTTTTGCCTATTTTGAAGAATAAAGTTTTGAAAATCTCTTAGATTCCAATTGAAGTTTATTTAAAGCACTTTTAATCTCTATGCAACAATCGAGAGGGAATTTAAGAGATTGTCCTTTCCAACTTCATCCATCTATAGAAGGAGGCAGAGGTCTTTGGAAGTGAAGGGACATGCCACACGGAATTGGTGAGGAAAGCTGGCTTAATATTTTTATTTTTGCTTTTTGCAGCCACTCTCTTTCATTTCCATTTTCTCTTTCCCATTTGTGATGCCATTTAAGTTGCAATTGAAGTCAATAACAGCCTTGGGTACTTTTGAAGCTGATCATAGTTTCTGTCAGTAATAGGCTTCGAAATCTCATTTGTTACAAAAAAACATAAAAGCAGAGCCACACAAAATACATTTGGGCTTGGGGACTCAGAGGCAAAGTTCTCCATTTACCTAAATCATAGGAACTTGTCCCTTCGTCCATGCTCATTGCCAGAATCGGACAAATTGGGGTGTATGTATAACAAGGGGTCAAATTTCAGTAAAGAATTCAAGGAGAGGTGAAATAATCTGATAGTTCAAAGGATCCAGACTCAATATGCCATATGCTTCCTCTTGCTTTTAATATGGGTTTATTTTTACAATACATTTTTTATCTCATAAAAGGAAGCTTTGGTGGTTACTTTTGATGTCCACTAGAAGATGCCTGCCCCCAGAGTCTGCATGGGGTAATCAGTCAGACCCAGAAATGAGTCTTAATTTGTTGCCAGTCGAAAAAGGCTGGGAACATCCTGCTTATGACGAGATCCCCTAAGTGTCTGGTGGCCTGGGATAACAAGCTCACCCAGTCGGTGGTCAGGTGACACCGGAATCTCTGTCCCCTAACTTCTGGACTTGTGTTCTTTTACAAGAAAGTTTGCGATTATTCAGCCTTTGGTACGCTTCTCACAGTTGAGTATAGATGACTTTTAAAAGAAAGCTATTTTTCTCAAGGATGATTCATTCAAAACAAAAGGATGTGTCAATTATAAGGCTTATTCTTAGCAATGTGTAGTTTAAGTCAGTGAAAACATATCTGAAAGCTACAGAGACTTTTTCCCCTTTAGGATTTTAACTAGAAAGTGGCAAGCTTCAAAACAAAGCAAAACAAGAGTGAAAACCCAAACAAAACACAGCCTGCTCTGTTTTCAGATATGAAGTTGCAGATCTTGTTTGTATTTAGACTACATATTTTAAATGAGTGAGAATAAGAGATCAACAATTTTAGAACACTGGTGACTGCCTGGAATTATGGTATGTTGCCATTTATTGCAGTAAAACACTGAATCGTGAATAGATTTGTGACTGAGACTGATGGTCTCCAGCGGGCTTTTTGAAGCTACTTAGTGAAACTTTCATTTTGTGAGATGTTACAAGGTATCCCTTGAAAACTTGGGCCTGTTCCCAGATAAGTTTGAGAACTTCAGCTTAAAAAACAAAATGCAAATATATAGTGATAGATATATGCAGTACACGCACACACAGTAGGACTTTTCAAAGCCTTAAAATGCTAACATACAGTATGAGTCCTCATGGCCAAAAATAAGATAGGCACTATTTCCTAACATCTGTCTAAAGTGCTATTTTTTTATTGATCCACATTAACACTTCACTATAGGAACTATATGAACCTGGTAGAATTTATGAAAACTAAAAACATCATTCGGAGAGTCATCTTCTTTGATTCCCTACATATCAAATCTCGACACCTGAGTTGAGCAACATCCCTGCCATGCAGGCAAAATGCCGATGCTTGAACATTTAAGGCTACTTTGACAAGGAAATTCTTGAATTTCAAAGCTTAGAAAGTTCTTTCTTTGGTTGTATTGAAATCCCTTTTCCTGTAGCTTCCACTCTTTGTCTTTAATGAGTAGAGTTGTATTAGATAAGTCGAATTC